GGACAACCAGTCAATGCTTCTCTTTTGCATCGATGTTCCTTTCCCTTCCTTTCTCTCTAAAAGTGATGAAAAAATGTCCTCGAGTAAGGTTAAAAAAAAAAAAAAAAGAAAATGTAAATGGATTAACTCTCTAACCAAGGGATAGGGAATGGCACACTGGATTAAAAAAAAAAAAAGATCCAACTATGTGCTGTCTATAAGATATTTACTTTAGATCCAAAGACACAAAAAGATCAAAGTCAAAGAATGGAAGATATTCTATGTAAATAACAACTGAAAGAGAGTAGGATAGATATTATAATATCAGAAAATATACACTTTAAATAAAAAAAGGTTCCAAGAGACAAGGTTGTACACATTGTATTAACAAAAGGTTTAATACAGCAAGAAGATATAACAATTATAAACATTTACTTACCTAATAATGGATCATCACAATATATTAAGTAAAACGTGACAGAATTAAAGGTAGGCAGAAAGTTCTACAATAATAATTGGAGATGTCAACAGTTCACCCCCAGTAATAGCATCCATTATAATCAGATAGAAGATAAGGAGATATAGGATTTAACATGATAAATCTACTAGATCTAAGAGACATACACTATACTCAATACATTTTTCTAAATGCATGTGGTACATTTTCCAAGACAGACCATACATTAGGCCACAAATTGTCTCAAAAGATATAAAAGATAAAATAAAAAGTATCTTCTTCAACAACAACAGAGTGAGTTAGAAATCAATAACAGAAGTAAAACAGAAAAATTTACAAATTTGTGAAAATTAACCCTTTAGTCAACAGCACAAAGAAGAAATAAAAAGGGAAATTAGGAAATACTATAGAGGTAAATGAAAAGAGGAAACACAACATACTAAAACTCATAACATTCAAAAAGGGTACTCAAGAGGAAAATTTATAGTTATAAATGCTTCCGTTAAAAAAAAATCTAAAACCAACCATCTAATTTTACAACTTAAAGAACTAGAAAAAGAAAAAAACAAACCCAGTGCTAGCTAATGAAGAACATCATAAAGAGTGGGCTGGTGTAGCTCAGCGGACTGAGCGCAGGCTGCAAACTAAAGGGTAGCTGGTTCAATTCCCAGTCAGGGCACACGCCTGGGTTGCGGGCCAGGTCCCATGAGAGACAACCACACACTGGTATTTTTCTTCTTCTCTTTCTCCTTCCCTTCCTCTCTCTCTAAAAATAAATAAATAAATAAATAAATAAATAAATAAAATCTTTAAAAAAACATCAGTGCAGGGATAAATAAGATAGAGAATAAGAAATAGAAAATCGATGAAACTCTAAGTTGGTTCTTTAAAACACCTTTAGCTAGATGGACCAGGAAAAAAAAGAAGAGACCCCAATTACCAAAGTCAGAAATGAAGGTGAGAACATCATAAGTACTGGGATGACCTTGATGAAATACACAATTTCTGAGATACACAAAATCATCAAAAAATAGAAAATCCTAATAGATCTGTAACCAGTAAGGCGATTGAATCAGTAATAATAAAAAAGTCTAACAAAGTAAAGCAAAGTCCTGGACCTGACAGCCTCAAATGGCGAATTCTACCAAACATTTAAAAATGAGCAACAATCTTTCTCAAACTTTTCCAAAACACTGAAGTGCAGGAAAATACCTAGAACACTTCATAACCCTTTGTATGAGACCAGCATTACCCTGATAACAAAGTCAGACCAAGACACTACAAGAGAACTACAGACCAACATCCCTTTTATAAACACTGATGCAAAATTCTCAACAAAATACTAGGAAACCAAATTCAGCAGCATGTTATAAGAATTATATACCACAACTAAGTGGGATTTATTCCTGGAATGCAGGATGGTCCAACACATAAATATTGATCAATGTTATTATACCACATTAATAAGAATGAAGAAAAAAAACACACAACCACCTCAACTGATACAGAAAAAGCACTTGACAAAATCCAACACACTTTTGTCATCAAAACACTCAACAAACTAGGAAGAGAAAGAAACCACCTCAATAGGATAAAAAACATAGGGAAAAGCCACAGTGAACATCATATTCAAAGGTGAAAGACTGAAAGGTTTTCCTCTAAATCAGTAACAAGGCAAGGATGCCCATTTTTTGCTACTTCCATTCAACATAGTAGTACTAGATGTTTTAGTCAGAGCAATCAGGCAAGGAAAAATAAAGGCATCCAAATTGGAAAGGAAGTAGTATTTTCTTTCTTCACAGATATGATCTTACATGTAGAAAATCCTAAAGACTAAATGAAGAAACCTGTTAGAACTAGTAAATGAATTCAGCAAAGAAGCAGGATACAAAGTCACAGAAAAGTCAGATGCATTTCTACCTACTAACAATGAACAACTGGAAGAAAAAATTATGAAAACAATTCTATTCATTATAAAATAAAATATAAAGTACTTATTAAAGTCATAAATAAAACACATCTCATGTTCATAGACTGGAAGACTTAACACTGTCAATGCTACCTAAAGCAACTGACAGACTCAATGACATGCCTATCAAAATATAAATGTTTTGTAGAAATAGGAAAACTCATCCTAAAATTCATTCAGAATCTCAGTGAAACCCTAACAGCCAAAACAACACTGAAAAACAAACAAAAAGAAAACAAACCAATATGGTGGACTCACAACTGTTTGGTATCAAAACTTACTACAAATTTATAGTAACCAAAACAGTGTGGTATTAGCATACAGACAGGCATATAGACCAATGAAACAGAGTAAGAGCCCAGAAATAAAACCTTACATATATAGGCAAATGATTTCCAATGAGTGTCAAAATGATTTCATGAGGAAAAGACAAAACAATATCCACATAAAAAAGTGAAGCTGGATCCTTATGTAACACTGTATACAAAAATTAACTCAAAATATATCTAAGAATTACTGTATTTTGCTGTGTATACTGAATGTGCTCCCACTTCTTTTGTCCAATTTTTTAGGAAAAAAATCTTTTGATTTAATATTTTAATTAAATTATTTATTTATTTATATTTGAAACAAAACCCATTATCATATTCCAGGGTATTATTTTGCACATGGATGTTGTCATTGCTTTCTAGAGTTACACTTTTAACACAGATGCATATAAAAGAATTAAAAACATTTATACAGATATGGAATTAGTACTAGCCAAATATAATGCACATCCTTATTTTCCTCTCAAAAATGTGGGCAAAAAGTACACATTATACACAGCAAAATATGGTACATGTAAGATTTAAAACTATAGAACTCTTAGAAGAAAATAGAGGACAAGCTTCACGACATTGGATTTGGCAATGATACCTGGGCTATGACACCAAAAGCACAGGGAACCAAAAAAAAAAAAAAATTGGCCTTCATATTCATTTTAAAATTTTGTGTATCAAAAGACAGTAACAATGGAATAAAACAGCAATCTACAGAATAGAAGAAAATATTTTCAAATCACGCATTTGATAAAGGGTTAATACTCAGAATATATAGAGAACTCAACCAAAAAGGAATCAATTCAAATATGGACAAAAGACTTGAATAGATATTTCTCCAAATATATATATAAATGGCAAAAAAAAAGGGGCTAAAAAAGATGGCTAACATCACTAATCAATAGGGAATGCAAATCAAAACTATGAGTTACTACCTCATACCCATTAGAATAGCTATGATTTAAAAAAAAAAAACCAACAACCTGGAAAATAACAAATATCGATGAGGATGTGGAGAAATTGGAGCCCTTGCGTACTGTTGGTGGCAAAATAGGACAGTTGCTGTGGAACAAATATGGCAATTCCTCAAAAAAACAAAAACTAACCAGAATTACCATGTGACCCAGCAATTCCACTTCTGCTATATAACCAAAAAAAACTGAAAGGAGGGTCTGAAACAAGCATTTAATTTGTACACCTATGTTTACAGCAGCATTATTTACAATAGTTAAAACATGGAAACAATCCAAGTGTCCATGGACAGATGACTGGAAAAGCAAAATGCAGTATTATCCAACGGAATGTTATTGCCCTTTAAAAGGAAGCCTTATTTTGACACATGCCACAATACAGATGAACCTTAAGGACATTATGCTAAATAAAATAAGCCAGTCACGAAAAGAGAAATATATGATTCTATTTATTTGAGGTACTTAGAGTATACAAAATCAGCAACAGGTTATCAGGGGTTGGAGGGAGGGCATAATGAGGAGCTATTTTGTAATGGGTACAGTAGTCCTCCCTTATCTGTGGTGATATGTTCCAAGATTGCTAGTGGATGCCTGAAACCATGAACAAAACTGAATTCTGTATGGCTTATGTTTTCTCCTATACACATATAATAGTTTAATTTATAAATTAGGCACGGTAAGAGTTTAACAGCAGTAACTAATAATAGAACAATTATAACAATATACTGAAATAAGTTATGTTAACATGGTGGGTCTCTCTTTCTCTCCCTCTGATAATGGAGAAGGCTATGTTGGGAGGGTAGTATATACGGTGTGGATCGGCTGAACAAATGAATGACATCCTGGGCAGGATAGAGGGGGAGATTTCATTACACTACTCAGAATGGGCATACCTATTAAAATTTATGAATTGTTTATTTCTGGAATTTTCCATTTCATATTTTCAGTGTGTTCACAATGGGTAACTAAATCCATGGAAAGGGAAACTGTGGTAAGGATAGGGCTACTGTAGTTTCAGTTATACTAAATGAAAGGGCGATAGAGTAGGTGGTGATAGTTGTACAAATATATTTAGTAACAGTGAACACAACACTTAAAGAAATTTAATCACCTAGTGTCCAGGAGAGTTACAAGTCAAATCCCTAGGGTTTGTGAGAAAAAAAGGGTGAACAGGGACTCAAGACTTGATACCTCCAAAAGTACGTATCACAGGTTAGGGTAGCATAAATACCTGGCATAAAATTTTTTTTCTAATGGTAAGTACCTAACTAGTCAAATCATAAAAAAACTAGTCTTAATCTTACCTGCACAAGATACCGTGGATCCACATTTAAGTAAGGTGAGAGAGGATTCATACCAGTCACTAGAGAAAAAAACAAAGTATCATGCCACAACAAAAAATTTTAAAGTTATTTCACTTAGCATTAACTCTACTTTTGTTTCATTTTTTGCCATTTTGATTTATAGACTCACTGAATGTGAAATTTTCTCCCACTTCTTTACGCTTATCCTTCTTGTCTGGCAGTTTTGGGGCAGCCTCCTTCTGCTGTCTTCAGTCTCAACTTACATCTTGCAATGGTGACTCAGGTTCTCACAGAAAGATGATACAGGCAGTAACGTGTATCAAATGAACAAAGTATCAGGAAGCAGAGCCCAGGTCAACTATAAAGCTAATTTCTTTCTACTTTGCTACAAGAATGCTTGCTAACTGAACAAACTGCAAAATAAGACTGACAAGAGACCAATTAATTTCATGGGAAACACAGTGTTTGTGTTATGTATTGTGTATAAATATCTCATGGCAGTTTCTTCAGATCTTAGTGTTAACAGTTGCTGAACAGAATTTATTTACTATGGCAGGATAGAGAATTCTTGAGCCATCACCACAGGGATGGGGGTCATGGAAATAGAAAATGGAAACTTAAGAGGGCCAGATTTGAGCCCCACTAATTGAAGTTAAAAAAATCTATCAAGGAAAATCAACTTTCTCACACTTTAAAATTAATCTTTGGATCCTATTGTATCTCAGTTGATTGTTCACAAATCTATGCATTATGCATAACTCTAGTCTTCTCATTAACTGGAAGTCCTATTAATTCTACATTCAGTAGCTATCTTGCACTATTACTTATCACCACCTTTATTGCTACTATCCTAGTCCAACCATTAAAATCTCACCTAAACTACAATAAGGATCTCCTACCCAACTATATTTACTTACTACCTAGGAATTAAAGTGATTTCTTAAGAAAAGGAAATCAGCCTGAATAGCAGCCATTTACGCTTGCAGTCAAATCCAAATTCCTTACCATGGTTTACAAAACACCACATTAGCTGCCATTCCTCGCCCCCTCCGATCTCATTAGCTCCTATCACTCCAACTCTCTTGCAAATCACACACACACCTAATGGTTGTTCCTCTAACATGCCAAGTTTATTTTTTTCTCAGGACATTGGTACTAAACATTTTCACTGGTGTATTTGTCCCCTCACAGGCATTTGTATTGCATTCCGATCACACCTCAATGTCAAAGCCCCTGAGATGGTCTTTCCTTGACCCATTCTAAAATGGCTTCCGGCTCTGAACAAAATCTCATGATCCCGTTTTACTGCCTTTACACATACTTATCATTAACTGAAATGTTTTTATTTGTTGCTTGGCTCATTTCAATAGGATGTAAACTTCATGAAAGCAGCAGCCATGTTTTTAAAATAATTTAAGTGCTGTGGCTCTACACCCATAAAAGTCATCAACTCATTGTAGGTGTTCAATGAATGGCTTTCACCCCTCCATCACTTATTTTGCCTTCAAATCTTAAATTAATGTAACAATGTTTACCATGTTAAGGCAGTGCCCTCTGTGTTGCAAAACGCAGAGCTCCTAAGTCCTATTATGTATAAACTATTCTAGAATGTTTTGACACAAGGAATTTGAAAGGGCTTTTTCGTTCTTGAGCGTTAAGGACCTAGAGAAATAATACAAGAATTCTCAAAAAAGAAAAAAATTATAAAGCGCTTATCCTCCACCAAGTTCCTACTATCTTTTTAAATCCGAGTTATAGTCATCCAGTCGAATTCCTACGAAGTCCGAAAAACTTGGCATACATATTCAGAGAACTGAGAAGAGGGCAAGGGCATATTCGTGCTTCTGCATCCTCTTGCATAATGCCTCTCCTAAAATTGTTTCTTAATGTATATAAGTGACCTTTAAATTTAAAGTGCAGCTCACTTCCCAGCTCCTACAGTTGTCTCGGCTCGTATTTCTTTCTCGCCTACACTTATTATTGAGTGTTTTGACATGACGGCTACTTTGTGGTTGAGAATATGTGGCTTTCTGCTAAAATGTTTTCTACAGGATCGCTACTTGGAATACATTTACCTGCAGAGCTGGGCTCTCCTCTTAATTTAGGGTTAAGCACACAGCCCAACACATAAGGAAATGTATGGGAGGGAAAATAAGGCCCAAAGTTCGAGTATAAAAACAAGAAAAGATACAACATTTCCTAAGTTCAGGTTAGTCACGAAGAGTTCTCGGGGATCCATAGCTCCAAGAACTCGTTCAATCTTGAAAAAGCGGCAGCGACACACACTAACCGCACTGCTGATACTGTAGACTGTGAACATCAACAAAAATGAAAAGACACGCTGCAGGCCTGGCGCAGTCTTCAATAATCAGAAACGTTCGCACGATGCCCCCGATACTTACGCGGAACGCCGGCCAAATCCGCGTGCGAGTAACCAGGTGCGCCCGCTCCGAAAAAGCCGGCCAAGCCCCCTGTGGTTTTGTTGCCGCTTCCCCCGCCGCCCTCCATGGTCTCGCAGCAAACTGCGCTTCTACCTCAGACCGGGGACGTCCTGCTGTTGCTCCTTGAGAGCAGCAGGTAGTTGGACTCACGTTACTACAGACTCCTTCACACGCTGACCTTCCGGCGCCGGTGTCCGGTAGGCCCCACCCTTCCGCTTTGCGACTTTGTATTGCCCGGAAGCCGGATGCACCTAACGGCAGTTTTCCGGTAGAGGAAAAGTGAGCGTAGCCAGTACCAGGGCGGTGTATCCTAAGGAAGGCGGGTCACCTGTGGAAGAGGGAAGACAGGACAGGCGATTGGGTAGAGCCAGGCTCTGGAAGCCGGCGGAGCAGCAACTGCAGAAGCAGGCAGCAGCAGAGAGGGAATGGTGCCTGGAGGCACCGAGAAGGAGGTGCAGTCCGTCCCTCAGGGTTAGTGAATGAAGCTCTCCGCCCGGGCCAGCCCGGGGACTGTGCGGTGCGGGTCCCAGCATGAATGCGGGCCCCGGCTGTGAGCCCTTCACCAAGCGACCCCGCTGGGGTGCCTCTGCAACTTCTCCGCAGGCCGCCTCGGACGCCCGGAGCTTACCCCGCAGGCAGAGGCGCACCCTCGACCCTAAGGACACTCCTCTGCAGTTCAGGGTCCCACACTCCTCGTCTGGCTGCGTCTCGGGGTGGGCGGGACCGCACAGAGGCCGCTCCACCTCGCTTGGTACGTGGGGAAATAAAGATCTTTTCCTTCGCCTCGGCCCAAACCTCTTTTTGGTCTCTGTGTAAGGATCCAGGGACTCCAAGGATCCAGACTCCGTCTGGTCTAGTGTGCACCACTCTGAGGGCCCCTTTGAGAGCCACCAAGGCCACTGTAGGGGCAATGGGGCTACATTTTCCCTGTTGGGATTGGTGGTGTGAGAAACCCTGAGGAGCAGTCACAGGGCAGAAAAGGGCAGAAGACTCCACCGTTTTGTTTTACTAGGGTTTGAGAAACTCTCGTAGTCGTTAAAGGAAGTCTAATTGAGTATGTGAAGCTTCAGCCTATGTATTGAAAGGAAGGTACATCTTCCCTCAATTCAGATTCTGGTTCCCTGACTCCAGAGCTGTTAGACTTACCTGGCACTGTACTTGACTCGGGTGTGCAGAGTTGAACAGGAATCAGTTGGCCTCTGCCTTAACACCCTAAAATTTATCAAGGGAGATAGACAGTTACAAAAGTCAACATGATAAAGGTTAATGGATGTTTTGATAGATGGTAGGAGTACTTAAATTCAATCCAATACCAAAGGTACTCTCCCAGAAGAAGAGATGTTTAATCTGAGTACTGAAGAATGATGAGGGAGCTAGATGAAGAGGAAGCAAGGAAGTATTCCCAAAGTGCAGCTGATGCATACTGTCAAAGTGTAGTAGTGAGATATGAGACTGAAAGAGATAGGCAAAGATCAGATCACACTGGGACTTGTAGGTTTTGCACTTTATACCTAAGGGCAATGAGAAGCAATTAAAGGGCTTTTAGTAAGGGAGTGACTTGAACATATGTATATATAATCTTTTTTAGGGGTGGGGATAAAGGTCCCTGTGCCTGGAGTGTGAAAAATAAAGAATGGATTGAAAGAAGCGCAGGCCCAAGAGTCGTTAAAAGTTACTCTAAGTGGGAAATAAAGATGGTTTACACTTAGCTGAGGGCAACAGGGAAGGGGAGAAGTGGTTCCATTTAGTAGAAAGTGGGTTATGTGGGTTTGTACTCCTAAGAAGTATATCTGTGCTGTAAATGAAGGTTTGGGATTTTTGGCATAAACGTAATTGATGCTATGGAAGTAGAATGTAGAGAACATAAAAGTGACCTAGGACAGAAACCTAAAGTTTCTGCTCCTAAAGAGCACTACCATTTAAGAGTAGACTGAAGAGAAGCAGCTGGAGAGATAGGAGGAAAGCCTGGCTTTTGTTATGTCATGCAAGGAATACAGCATTTCAAAAAGGAGGTCAGGCAGCCCTCTGGTAAATTGTGTACACTTATTTCTCTCAGGATTGAGGCAATGGGGTGCAGATCTAAACTAAGTATTAGAGGATGAGCAGAGTTTGCTGTATAAATCCAAGAGAGAATAAATATGAGCACTCAATAGCATGTGTAAAAGGTGTAGGACTGGAGTGCAGAATGACATTAATGTCGGACACTGGGAAGGGGAGCAAGAACTAACTCAAGACAAACTCGAGTGCCATCTCAGGGCATTTGGGCTTTGTTCTATGGCTAATGGGGAGCCACTAAAAATCTTTTACAAAGGGGGATATTTGGTTAGTATTTTAGAAAAGATTGCTTAGGCAGTCTTTTCTAACTAATACTTTAAATTTTGCTTTGTACATAGAGTAAGAAATATATGTAATTAAGTAAATATGCTGTATTTATAACAAATGTTTCATGAAATAATACCCTTACTGTGTATGATGCATTCTTATGCTGTCATTTGTAGTTTGTAAAACGCAGAGAAAGTGAAGACTGTAGACACAGAGACCAGTTGCAAGAAATAAGTGCTGTTGTCTGATAAATGATGTACCTGTTCTTTTAATGTTGGTGCTATTTTGAAGATGAAGAGGAAAGGAGGAGTTTAAGATTTTGGATATAGATTTCAGAGTACTTGGTGAAGGAAAGTGGAGAGAAAGTGAAACTGAGGGTGACTTCCAGGTATTGTCTGACTTATATGATGAGCTAATTTGTGGTTCCATTAACTTTATTTGCAGATAAAGGAGAAGTTAGTTGCAGTGGTAGGGGGCAGTTAATCCTAGCTGGTTGGAACTTCTGATTTTCTGCAGAAGAGGAACCAAATTAATACTTTGGCTGTACTATGTTTGTAAATGTTTTCAGTATACCTGGCACAGGGCACCAGTTAACAAAATGTTCAAAGTCTAAATATATAAAAAACTACTGCTTCAAATTTTGGAATTTTTTTCAGGAACTTTGAATATAAAATTTTTATGTATAGTTTTTCTAGTAGGAGTAGGTAGAATAAGAAAGTAGATTTTTTTTCAGTATCTTAAATTTTGTATTATCTTTTAAGCACATTTCTTATATTGATTGAAATTTGGATATCTACATATAGGCAGAACCTAGCATGCGATTTGCATTCTGACAGGGAAGGATTTGCTCAATTGTGTTGTGGAAGCTCCCTTATTCTTCGTGTTATAACTACCTAGAGTTTCTCTCCCCACTCCAGAGATGATCCAAGTGTATGTCAGTGGTTGGTGAATGAGGGACTGGAGCTGGCTTGTCCCGTATTCCTTAGTGCTGTCAAAAGCATCTTCAGACCTCTTTTCTTATCTCAGAAACTCTCCCACTGTCTCCATTGCTCTTTGTTCTCACCACATCCTTCCTTCCCATACCTTATCTTGCTGCTGGAAGAAAAACTTTTTGTGGATGTTCGCTCCTATGATATGCAGATGAATTTTACAGGTGTTGTGCCTTTTGCCTGTGTCTGTAGCAATTAAATGATTTGCTTATTGAATATTGAAATATGCTACTGAATGATGTTACTGATGAGATTATGTGTAAATGGTGTGAAGTCATAATGAAGTTGGGTAACTACTGATTTCAGTGAAAAAGATGTTGTGTGTAGGTGTTGGAAGAGAATAATGCATTTGTTGAGTTTCTGCTCTGTAAGACTGAATACTTAATATTTTCTCTCATTGATCTACATAAGCCTTGGAAGTAGGTATTTTTAAAAAATTTTAATTATTGTTCAAGTACAGTTTTCTCCCTTTTACTCCCAGTCCAGCCCACTCCCAACCCTCCCCACTTCCCTCCCATTACCACCCTCCCCCTAGTTTTTGTCCATGTGTCCTTTAAATTTGTTCCCGTAAACCCTTCCCATTGTTCCCTGAAATTCCCTCTTCTCTCCCCTGTGGTCACTGTCAGCCTGTTCTCTATTTCAGTGTCTTTGGTTATATTTTGCTTGTTTCTTTGTTTTGTTGTTTAGGTTCCTGTTAAAGGAGAGATCATATGGTATTTGTCTTTCACTGCCTGGCTTGTTTCGCTTACTTTAGCATAATGCTTTCCAGCTCCATCCAAGCTGTTGCAAAGGGTAGGAGCTCCTTCTTTCTTTCTGCTGCATAGAATTCCATTGTGTAAGTGTACCATAGTTTTTTGATCCATTCATTTGGAAGTAGGTATTGTTAATCACACTTTATAGGCGAGAAAAGAGAGGCTCAAAGAAATGAATTACTTCTAAGTGGCTTAGCAAAATTTGCAATCTAAAATATTGTTTGACTCCAGATCTTATATCTTTTTCATCAACTCCCATTGCTTCCCTTTTTGTTTGCTGTGATTATTTCTAGTTAAAAGGAAGGAGCTCCCAGGAAACCTGGGAAGCATCATTTTATGTTTACTTCAGGAATTAGGTAAAACTGAAACAATCCTGTGATGTGTGGCAAAAAAAATCTTTAGAAGCCAGAAGTAGTGGTATTGGAAAGAGAAGTAGGCAGACCTTTTTCTGGGTTCCTCAGAAGGACTGAGGAATGTTTTATTAGTAGGAAATATTAGTTCTTCACCTGTTGGTTCTTCTTCATCCTGTTCTTAGGTTTCAGGAATGACAATAGGAAGCCTGAAGTGAGGGAACACAGGCTCAGTGCTCCCCTATTCTAGCTCCCCTCAGTTTCAGGAGAGAGCCCTGTCCTTCAACTGCACTAGAACACTTCATAGTTTTGTTTTGTTTTTTGTTTTTAAATGAAACAGTGTAGGCAGTCTAGGTTCCATAGACTTGTCATCATATTCATATGTATTATAGGAACCTAGCCATTGCATACCATTTAATCCTTATATTTATGGAAAAGGGTGTTTTAAATTATACACTGACTCAAAAAAGGGAATTTTTCTTGCTCACTGCTGGTTTTTAATTTGAGTATTTTCTATATCTGCTGCATTTGACATAATGAAATTAAATAGAGAAGGTGGAACTGTAGGAAAGTCTCAGAATGAAATGATTCATTTTTTACTACCTTCTGACTGAAACTAATTTTTTTCTGAAGACTGATTTGCTGTAAAAGTACTAAGTTAATTAAATCACTAAAGTAGTGGTCTTTAACAAGAAACATCAAATATATATATATGGATATGTATACATATAATTTTTTGAAAGGAGCTATTTTAAAATGCTGAATTGATTTTTAATAGTTGGAATGTTAGTATTTTGTGGGAGGTACAAATTATGTGGCACTCAATTACAGGGATAAGTAAGCTGTTTATTTATTTGGAACAGCATCAGTTTTGCTCATGTTATTGTGTTTGAGGGGACTTAGGTAGATTAGAATGAGTCTATGATTGAAGATGCCTAGATTCTTACACTGTAATTTAGACAGTAGTTGAGACTGTTGAAGATTTTTTTGTTTTTTCTTACTAAAATATTATATACATTTAACCCTCATGAAATACGTTAAATTTTGAAAGCAAAATACTTTTGAAAGTATTTCTAATGCTTTAGAAATTGTGGCTTGCATTTGTTTTTGTTGCATCTCTCTCTGCTGAGAGAGATGCTCAGCATAGAGCATCTCTCTGCTGCTCATTTCTATGTAGTTATCTCATTGGCATCTCAAAGTTAATAGTTCAGAATTGACCTAATCATATTTTCCCCCTAAACCCAGTTTTCTTATATTTCACATTTAGTGCTGTCATGATCTTTTGAGTCTCTTAAGTTTAAAACTTAGTGTTACCTTTAACTTCTCCTACGATTGTGTAGTCTATAATGACTCACTTTTCAACTTTTCCTGTTTGAATAGTTCTGGTTGTTGGCCAATAGTTCTCCAACCTAGTTGATCATCAAAATCACTTTGAAAAAAATATAAATTCTAGCTCCCCTCACACCTCCATCATTACACATATAGATTCTGATTCTGTAGGTCTGAGTGTGTCCCTGGGATCCATTTATTAGCAGCCTCCTGATGATTTAGATAGTTTGAGAACCACTGACCTAGATCAATAGCTTTCTTGCTGATTTCTACCAATGAACTGTTTCTTGCCCCTTCAGATTTGCCCTTCAGGCTACATGGGAGCTTCCTAGATTTGATTTATGGAATTACAGCTCTGAGTGTGAATTTTAACACTTTTTTGTAATCCTAGGAGAGATACTATTAATTTGCATGTTTACAAATAAGGAATGTGAGACCCTTCACAAAGTCACATAGAAATCTAGTTGGGGAGCCAGAATTTGAATCCAGGTGGTCTGATTCTAGAGCCCATGCTCTCATCCTTTAGGCCATACCAACTCTTTTAGAGAATGGTTGCTTTTTACTCTATGATGAAATGTATTTATGTTGCTGTATTATCTCCCATTGCTTGAGTGCAAAGGGAGTGATCAATCTTTTTAACCCACAGAACTTAGCATAAGGCCTTACATGTATATATGCTGCCAGAAGTATTTTCTCTTTGAAAGCATGTATGCATATACATTAATGTTTTGGGTGTGTGTGTGTGTGTTTTTTAACAGTGTTCAAACAGAAGACTATTTACAGTTGGATGGACAATAAAGGAATCAAGACAGCTGAATCAGAAAGGTATAGAAACATACATATATAGAGAAATGAATAACATGATAGATGGATGTTTTATCTTGCTTCATGCTATTTTCTCTCCTTGCTTTGTCAGTTTTTTGAATCTATGTTTATTCTTTCAATTTATAAATAATAATTTTTAGAGTCTCCTATATACCAGGGACTGGCCTATATATTTGAGATACAGAGATGAAGGAGAAATAATTTTGTCTTTAAAATACATGTAGTGGTGGTGACAGATACAGAAATGCATGATTACAGTAAGTCCTCACTTAACATTGTCAGTAGGTTTCCTGAAATGACATATAATGAAACCAATTTTGCTGAAGGCTAATTGATACAAACAAGAGGTAAGTTTCTATCACACCTTATCAACATTATAACAAAAAGACATTGAATGAAATGGTGTTATTTGAGGGCCTGCTGAGTGTGATAAATGCAATAGTAGAGGTATAAACAAGGTACAGTGGTGGTTAGCATTATAGAATAAATAATCCACTTTACCTTTGCAGGAAAGACTGCATAGTGAGTGAGTGAAGTTTAACACTTCTGGCAGGCACATAGTTGGGGAAAGGGCATTAAAGGCATGTGCAAAGACATGGAGTCATGAATGAGAATGCTATATGCTCAAATAATCACAAGTAATTTAAGTATTGCTGTGATGTTATAGGAATGTGGTTGGGTAAGTGGCTTTCTTGCATAAGTTTTTTTCTATTAAAATATCAGTTCTATTGTGTCATTAGTTCTTTCTATTTTCTTATAGTCTGCATAGTAAAGAAAACAACAATACAAGAGTAGAATCCATGATGAATTTTGTACAAAAAGATAACTGTTATCAATATAACATGGAAAAATTAGAAAATGTTTCCCAGCTAAGTATTGATAAATCACCAGTTGAAAAAAGTGCACAATATTTGAACCAGCATCAAACAGCAGCTATGTGTAAGTGGCAAAATGAAGGAAAACATACAGAGCGGTGTTTGGAAGGTGAACCTCCAACAGTAACTCTGGTATCTGAACAGTTCAGTAATGCTAACATTGACCAGTCACCTCAAAATGATGATCAGAATGACACATATAGTGAGGAAAGTAGAGATAACCAATTTTTTACACCTGTAAAGGTTGCAAATGCAAACCAGACTGCAGAAGATGAACAGGCCAGAGAAAACAGAAGTCTCCAGAAGTGTAGAAAGTCTTGCCATCTTGTGAAAGACTGTGTAGGTTGTCAGCAGGAAGAGATCGATGTGGTGCCAGAGAGTCCCTTGTCAGACATTGGCTCAGAGGATGTCAGTACTGGACTAAAAAATGCCAACAAATTGAGTAGACAAGAAAGTAGCCTAGGAAATTCTCCATTTGAGAAGGAAAGTGAACTCGAGTCACCAATGGATGTGGATAATTCCAAAAACAGTTGTCAGGACTCAGAAGCAGATGAAGAAGCAAGTCCAGGATTTGATGAACAAGAAGATGGCAGTTCTTCACAGACAGCAAATAAACCTTCAAGGTTCCAAGCAAAAGAAGCTGACACTGAACTGAGGAAAGGGTCCTCTGTCAAGGGAGGTGAAATTCGATTACATTTCCATTTTGAAGGGGATAGTAGTGCTGGAATGAATGATTTAAATACCAAACTACCTGAAAGTACTTCTGCCTTGAATGTGGAATGCAGAAATTCCAAGCAACATGGGAAAAAGGGTTCTAAAATCACGGATCATTTCATGAGAATGCCCAAAGCTGAGGACAAAAGGTAATTTTTTCAATCTAGAGTATGTCCAGTAGTGCAATGCATTTTATAAGGAGGGTTTAGCAAAAATATGGTTTACACTGAAGCTAAATAACAGTTGTGTTTTTTGTTATCTCCTTATGCTAAATTTATACTTAGACTCAAAACTTTAAATTCTAAAGGCCAGAAACAAAAATAAGAAGTAAATAAATATTATTAATCAGCGTTTTAGTTCCATGAACTTCCTTCTGAAATTTATGTGAATTATCAGGACATAAAAGTATTTGATTGATAGTAGCTACTGTTTTTTAGCCATTTTCCTAGGCCATTGTTTACTGCATTTTCTCTAATGCTCTGACAGGCAGGCAGGTGGTATTGTACTCACTTCATAAATGAGAAAACTGAAACTGGGGTTAGAGAATTCACTGAAATTATGTAATTTGTGGGCAGTAACACTGAGGTTTAAATCCCAGTCTGTATAATTACAAAAAAAAATTTCAAATTACATTTTTGCAGTTATTTCATATAGAATCTTAAAGCTCAGTCTCTGTTTTCTGTGATTTTTTTCTCTCTCAAAGTTTACTTCATTAAAGATTACTGTCCAGAATCCTGAGAAGTAACTGATACAATAAACCGTGACTTATTTGTCAGTGTCCATATTCTTATGTGGTCCTTTATTCAGAAGGTGGTTTACATGTGTTTGGAAATTCCTACCACAGACTATTGAAAACGAGGTTTTGGGTTTTACTATAAGCTTTATAAGGATTTTTGTTTGTCTTTTTTTTTTAATTAACAAGGAAAAAGAACAAGTTTGGCCCATTTTAAATAATGACAGTCTGGGTAAGTTTTATACTGTGTATCCAAGTGAATTTAAACAATAAGTACTTCATGACTGAATACATTTGTTTTGACCTTAGAAAAGAACAATGTGAAATCAGACATCAACGGACAGACAGAAGGATCCCAAAATACATTCCACCTCACCTTTCTCCAGATAAGAAATGGCTTGGAACTCCTATCCAGGAGATGAGAACAATGCCTACCTGTGGAATCCAGCTGCCACTCTTGAGACCATCTGCCAATCACACAGTAACTATTCGGGTAGGTATTATCTTTCACCTATAAAGAGAGAAGATTAATAATGTCTTGGTTTCTTTTGTTACTTATTAATGTGAAAAACAGACAAAGGTATAGAAAGTGGTTTTCTTTTCTGCATATAAAGTAGTGGGAAATCCATAGAATGTAGAAATATAACGATAGCTTAGTATGATACCTAACAAATCCATAAGATGAGTCATTGTCAACTAATGAGGAAATTGAAATTTTTTTTGTATTTTTAAGAAGATTCATTGGATTCTTTTTAAAAACAAATTAACTGACAACATTTATTAAGTACCCATTATTAGGCACATATTAGGTACTGGGTTAGTTCCTAAAATTCAAAGTTGTGGTTCAGTATCTTTAAATCATTCTCTAGTTTTCCCCTCTTTTTTGAGCTTTAGATTCTTCCAGACATCTCCATCCCTGTTCCACAGGTATCTCAAACTCAACATGTATAAAACCAACCTTATTTTTTAAAACTGTGGTTAAATACATAATAGAAAATTTACCATCTTAACCATTAAAAGATATTATGTTTCATTGGCATTAAGCATGTTCACCATATTATACAATCGATACCACTACCCATTTTCAGAACCTTTTCATCATCTCACACATAAACTTGACACCTACTAAACAGTAACTTCCCATTTGTTGCTTGCCCCTAGGAACCTTTTTTATACTTTCTGTGAGTTCTTTTTTTTAAACACATTTTTATCGAGGTATGTAAAATTTACCCATTTTAAGTGATCAATTCAGTAGTATTTACTGAATTTACTGAGTTAGACAACCATCACCATAATCCAGTTTTAGATTTTTATCACTCTTTGGACAGTTTTAAATAGTCATCTCATTTATTAGTCAGTCTCTGTTATTAGATTTTATAGGAGCTACTTATAAAAAAAAACCCTTTTATGGTACAACTTAGTCTAGATGTGATTACATATTTCAAAATACAGAATTCTTTAGTGTAGTTAGAGATGAAGCAACATTTAGCAGGGTGGTGGGGTTTGAGCTGAGCTCAAAAAGAAAAGTGAAAATTTCTGAGGTGGACTTTAAGACAAGACAGTTCTAAACATGTACGTACCTTTATACTGGTAAGTAAAGGTTGTGCAGTTGAAAAATATTTGTTTTAGTAATGGAAAACAATTGGTTTGCTGGAGCTTAGAATTTGACTGGGAAATGGTGGAGAAGACTTTGAAAAGTGTATTGGGTTCACATCATGGAGGGCTCCAGGTACCAGGAACTGGAATTGACTGTATAGGTAATAGAAATCATTAAAATGCCTGTGCAGATAGTAGTTGTGTTGTAGTAAGATTAATCAAATAGCTGTATGTAAAAAAATAAAAAAATCGAAGTGAGATGCATTGGAAACAAGGAAAGGTAATAAGAGATGAAAAGGAAGGAGGTAGTAATTATCAAATTGTGCTTCATGGAAGTGGTTGTGGGGTTCTTTTGAAATTTGACTCATTTCTTTTCTAAATTACATATATATATTTATAAAGATTTTATTTATTTATTTTTAGAGAAGGAAGGGATGGGGAGAGAGAGAGAGAGAAACATCACTGTGCGGTTGCTGGGGGTCATGGCCTGCAACCCAGGCACGTACCCTGACTGGGAATCGAACCTGTGACACTTTGGTTTGCAGCCCACGCTCAATCCACTGAGCTACACCAGCCAGGGCTTAAATTATATTTTTAACTACAAGAAACCTATAGTAAAAGAACTAACAAACAATTTGAAATTGTGTGCTAGTTCGGATTTGAAAATGCTTAATACCGTATTTTAACAAGCAGATTTATGAAGAGAATTCATCTTTGTTCATGCAATAGAATCAAGATTCTCTTGCCACTGCTGTTTAACTGAAGAGTTTCCTTAAACATAAAAATAACAGTTTAAAAAATTACCATTTGCAACTATTTAAGTATGTGAGTAGTATTTTCTTTTTTTTTTTTTTAAAGATTTTATTTATTTATTTTTTAAAGAGGGAAGGTAGAGAGAAAGAGAGAGAGAGAAACATCAATGTGCGGTTGCTGGGGGCCATGGCCTGCAACCCAGGCATGTGCCCTGACTGGGAATCGAACCTGCGATGCCTGGTTCACAGCCTGCGCTCAATCCACTAAGCTATGCCAGCCAGGGCAGTATTTTCTTAATAATGTGTAAGAGATATAAAAGTAAATTAAATAGTAGCTTTAGTTGTCATCCCTAACCCCCAATTTCAAATTTTGCATTTCTTAAAATAGTCATTCTCATTTATTGATGTTAGCATAAGGAAAAATTTATTGAAAAAGTTATATTTATAAAAAGTTTTTATTTGAGTTTAATGATTTCATGTTAGATTTCTTAAAGAAAAATGAGATCTGCTATTTTAAAACATTTGAAAATCACTGAGATAGGGTAATAATTGTTAAGATAAAAAAGAGAAAATACATGGCTGCATTATTTTGAGGTCAAATTGACAGGACATGGTAAATTCTTAAAGATTGGGCGGTAAGGGAAAAGGGGGCATTGATAATTGTCTAATTAAGAAATGGCTGGATCACTGACAATATGTTGATGGTTAAGATTTGGAAAAAAGATTGATTGGGGAGGTAATGATATTTTGACTTTTCCTTTTTTCTTACACTGTCCATAAAGAAAACTCAAAGCATCCTATGTCATCATTATTTAATCTCTGTAATTACTGTGTATTTGTTAGATATCCAATGACCCATGAATTTTAAAAATCTTAAAAATTATTTTTATTTTATTGCAAGAGTAGTGCAAGATCATCATAAAAAAGCAACTGTTATATGAAAATGTGTAACTCAGAAAACCTGTCTTTTGTAGTCCTATTCCAAGAGTTGAACTATTTGGTATATTCTCTTCTAGATTTTTTTTCTGAATATGGTAATATAATATATGCATAATGAATAGTTATTAAATAAATAATCCTTAATTACATTTCTAAGATGCCAGATATTAATAGTTACAGAATTGGAAGTAATAAAATAAAGCTGATATTTAGCATTAGAAATGTAAGGCAATCTGAAACTTCATGGGCATGACACTTAGTGCTTGATTATCTATAATACATGGATGAACACACATACACACATACATCCATGCAGACATAAGCACACACATGTACACACATACATACACAAAGTATATTCTTATCTATGTGTTCTCCTATGTGAAAGCTGGACTGGTACCTTTTCTGTCACCTCCAATTACATGGAACATCTTTACAAAATCACCCTTAGGACCTCCATTTGGAGGTAAAAATATTTTCAGCATAATTGATGTCTTAGCCACTTTTGACTCTTGACTTATTCTTTCCTCCTTGGAGTATTCTCATGCTTTGGCTTCAGTGACATCATATAATCCTAGTTTTCTTCCTCACCCAATAGTTACTTCCCATGTTCCTTTAGCTCTTCTTATGAGGCCTTTCCTCAAGGTTAATTCATAGGTCTTCTTTTCTTACCCTCTCTCTGGGTGTTGATCCACTGTTAGGGTTTTAATGGTCACATGTATAGGTTGCCTTACAGATTTATTTCTCTTGAGTTGCAGACTTTTTATGCAGCTGCTATTTATGGTTTGTTTCTTAAATAAACTGTTTCCTTTTTGAGGAACAATCTTCTTTTCCTGATTAACTTCTTTTTATTTATTTATTTATTTGTTTATTTATTTATTTTTAATATATTTTATTGATTATGCTATTACAGTTGTCCCATTTTCCCCCCTTTATTCCCCTCTGCCCTGCACATCCCCTTCCACCTGCATTCTCCTCCTTTAGTTCATGTCCATGGTTCGTACATAGAAGTTCTTTGGCTTCTACATTTCCTATACTATTCTTAGCCTCCCATTGTCTATTTTCTACCTATGATTCATGCTACTTATTCTATGTACCTTTTCCCCCTCTCTACCGCTCCCACTCCCCCACTGATAACCCTCCATGTGATCTTCATTTCTGTGGTTCTGTTCCTATTCTAGTTGTTTGCTTAGTTTTTTTCTTTTTTCTTTTTTTTAGGTTGGGTTGTTAATAGCTGTGAATTTGATATCATTTTACTGTTCATATTTTTTATTTTTTTTTCTTAGATAAGTCCCTTTAACATTACAGGTAATAAGGGCTTGGTGATGATGAACTCCTTTAACTTGACCTTTTATGGGAAGTACTTCACCTGCCTTTCTATTCTAAATGATAGCTTCGCTGGATAGAGTAATCTTGGTTGTAGGTCCTTGCCTTTCATGACTTCAAATACTTCTTTCCAGCCCCTTCTTGCCTGTAAGGTCTCTTTTGAGAAATCAGCTGATAGTCTGATGGGAACTCCTTTGTAGGTGACTGTCCCCTTATCTCTTGCTGCTTCTAGAATTCTCTCCTTCATTTTAATCTTGGGTAATGTAATTATGATGTGCCTTGGAGTGTGCTTCCTTGGGTCCAACTTCTTTGGGACTCTCTGGGCTTCTTGGACTTCCTAAAAGTCTGTTTTCTTTGGCAGATAGGGGAAGTTCTCCTTCATTATTTGTTCAAAGAAGTTTTCAATTTCTTGGTCTTCCTCTTCTCCTTCTGGCATCCCTATGATTTGGATGTTGGAACATTTAAAGATGTCCTGGAGGTTCCTTAGCCTCTCCTTGTTTTTTTGAATTCTTGTTTCTTCATTCTGTTCTGGTTGAATGTTTCTTTCTTCCTTCTGTTCCAAACTATTGATTTGAGTCCTGATTTCCTTCCTATCACTGTTGGTTCCCTGTAGATTTTTCTTTATTTTACATAATGCAGCTTTCATTGCTGCCTGGCTCTTTTTTGTGCTATTGAAGTACCCAGTGAATTCCTGGAGCCTCCTAATAACCAGTGTTTTGAACTCTGCATCTGATAGGTTGCCTATCTCTTCATTGCTTAATTGTATTTTTTTCTGGAGCTTTGAACTGTTCTTTAATTGGGTCCTTTTTTTTTTTTTGGTCCCAGCATTCCTGTCATGTAGTAAGGGGCAGAGCCTTAGGTGTTCACCAGGGTGAGGCAACCCACCTTGCTGGGTTGTGATGCTGTATGTGGGGGAGGGGTCTGAGAGGGAACAGTGCTGCTTGCTTCTCTCCCTGCTGGTTTTCAGTCATTTCCCCCACTATCTACTTGCAACCTGGACCCTTCTGGTGCTGATTTCTGGTAAATGGGTTTGTGTAAGTTTTAGGACCCTGTGGGTCTCTCCAACGAACTCTCCTGTGAGGCTGGGAGTTTCTCCCCCTGCCGCCTGCACCCCCACAGGTATTTTCAGTGAGAGGCTTTGAGGCTTTATTTCCCAGTGCTGGAACCCTGTGTTGTGAGGTCTGTCTCACTCCTGAGTTGTTCCTCAGGGTTTATCTTCATGTGAATGTGGGACTGCCCAGTCTGTAAGCCACTGCCTCGCTTGGTGCACCAACCGCTGTCTTGCCCACAGTCCTCTCCTCCTGGATGCCCGTCTCTGCCCCTCCTACTGGTCTGGATAAATGTTTCTTCTTTAACTCCTTGGTTGTCAGACTTCCAAACAGTTAATTTTTTGTCAGTTCTGGTTGTTTTTTGTTTTTAAATTTGTTGTTGTCCTCCTTTTGGTTGTGCGAGGAGGCACAGTGTGTCTACTTACGCCTCCATCTTTGTCAGAAGTCACTGGTTAACTTCTTTTTGTACTTGGGAGTTCAGCTCAATTGCCACTTCCTCAAGGAAGGCTTCTCTACACACGTAAGTTAAGCTAAAATTGTCTAGAATAGGTTTATTATTTTTTATTTCTCACCTGAGGTTTTTTCCCATTGTTTTAAGAGAAAGAGAAAGAAAGGAAGAGAGAGAGGGAAGTGGGAGAGAGGAAGGGGGCGGGGGAGAGAGAGAGGAACATCAATGTGAAAAAGAAACATTGGTCAATTACCTTCTTGTATATACCCTGACTGAGGATTGAACCTGCAACCTTAGTATATGCCCTGACCAAGAATAGAACCTGTGACCTTTTGGTGTAAGAGAATATGCTTCAACCAACTGAGCTACACCAGCCAGGGTTAGAATAGATTTTTTTAATACCACAAGCCTCTCATTTATAGCATATTACAGTTGAAATTTTATATTAATTTTTGTGATTATTTGATTATCTTCAGTGAAGTACTCATTCATGCCACAACATGGGTGAACCTTGAAAACATTATGGTAAGTGAAAGAGGTTAGACACAAAAGGCCACATATTGTATTAGTCCATTTATATGAAATGTTCAGAACAGGCAAAATGTAAAACTTTGTGTTTTAAAATATCTCCTTCCTCAAATATTTATTAAATGTTTATTATAAATAACATATGTATATATATAAATGTGTATGTTTACATATATGTATATGCTATACATACAAAAACACACATGCCATGCTCTGTAGTACATATTCAGAATAGAAAGTTAATATGGTTATTATTCTCAAGAAGTTTAGAGTCTAACTGGGGAAGGGGAAAAGAGTGTTCCCTAGTATGATAATGCTCTAATAAAACAAGGGGGAGTAAACTACCTACCTTTAAAATTTTTTTGAAGGCTTCCTAGAGGAAATGAAAATTGGGCTGAGTGATAGAGGTCAGAATAGATGTTGAACCAGATGGTGTTTGGGTAAGAGAGGATGTTAAGAGCAGGGAACATCATTTGGAATCAGAGTATAAGCAGAGGGGAGCCATTTTAAGATTAGAAGCCTGGAAATACTTGAGAAAGATAATATCAGTCCCAAGTGAGCATGGGGTGTTTACGGGGGATGAATGTTAGGTACAGTTGTAGTTAGAGAAATAAATAGAAGACCGTTGGCAGAAATTCAGGCAAGGAATAATGAGGATCAGGGGCCGAGATTGGATGAAGATAGAATGCCCAGGACATGGTGACTAGGAAACTGATTAAATGGAGGTAAGGAGTGGAAACAGCTGAATACGATTTCTGGGAATGCAAAGGAGCTGGTCTCTTTTTTATAGTGTTTGCTTCGGCTGCTTCATTCTTTTGTAAATGATACACCTAGTTTTTATACATTTACAGTTCTTGTTAATTTCTGTTTCAGGTAGATCTTTTGCGAGCAGGAGAAGTTCCTAAACCTTTTCCAACACATTTTAAAGATTTGTGGGACAACAAGCATGTAAAGATGCCTTGTTCACAACAAAACTTGTACCCTGTGGAAGATGAGGTAAAAACAAAACTGATTGTCTTTTAGTCTCTGATAGTTTAGTACATTCTTGTTTGACTCCTGTTTCTATGATGCAGAAAAACTTAGTTTGCTCATTTGTGTTTCCTTTTTCTCAAAGAATGGTGAACGAACTGCAGGAAGCAGGTGGGAGCTCATTCAGACTGCACTTCTCAACAAATTCACACGACCCCAAAATCTGAAGGTACGTTCTTTTTGCTATTCTTGCCTCTTACGTGTAGCTCTTGGAGATGGTCCCTGTGCCTCCTCCCTCAAAGACTTTTTTTTAATCTTTAATGGACTCAGTTGACAGCATTGTTTATTTGCAATGTTTTTGCTTCCTGAGGAGCCCTGTTTAGAGACATTCTTGGTTTCCATTCCATCACTAAGAAATAAGTAGAAGTATTAAGAATTGTAGATGACTTGCGTGTAGCCACACAGAATAATTTGGACAATCAGAAATTAGACCTCTGATTCTTGATTCCCCATCCAGTTTCCTTCCATTCAAGCTTTTCTTTTATTTTTGTTTTAGAATTATCATGTGTCTGAAATGTCTTCAAAAGTAAATGAGGAAAGAGTTATGACATCAGTAATATTTGCCCAAAGGAAAGCTGAGTTTCCTAATGATTAAATTATACATTAAACATTCTGTTTTTTATTGCTTTTGATATAGCTTCCAGCAGTTTAATAATTTATTAATCTAATATTTTGGCAGTAATTTATTTTCTGATTTTTTAAAATATTTTATTTAAGACTAAGGACAGTCTGTCTAGTCATTAGGTTGTTTTTCTAATAACTAAAATATGGGTAAGTATATGTTTATTTTCAGCACTATGTAAACTTTTAAGTTTTTATAACTACACACAGTAACAGATATTTCTATACTTCTGTGGAAATGGGTTTCATTGTCTTTTAGAGACTTAATTTGTTGTGTATAGTTTCTCAGATTTTATACTGTTTTTGCATTTATTCTTACAAGTTATTCTTAAACTTTCTATATCTTTCTTAGCTCCTGTTTTTTTTCTTAACATGAAAATACATTGATAATGTTATTCCATAATGTATTTTGAAAATTTTATTCTTTAGGTACAGTGTTTTTCGATCTTGTAATGTAATACTTTTAAATGAAAGAACTTCTTAGGGTCTGCTCAGGGTCTGCCAGAGTTTACTCACTTTTAGTATAATGTTAATTATATATGTACAAACATAAAACTAAAGATAAATTCTTTATACTTATAGTATACATTTAGGAACTTGAATATTCCCTGGTTCCAAGTAAATAATATGCATTCTATTGGCTCATTTTTTAATCTGGATAGATGCTTTGTGATTATTTATATGACATGAAGTGTTTTTCAGGAGGCTCTTTGGCAGAGTGTTAATTTTTTAAAACTTCTTTAATGATAAAGGAATTTGGAAATTTATAGTAATAATCTAACATAGTGTTTTTCAGATTTACATATGCCTTCAGTAAAAAAATTTTGGGGTGTGTACTATGAGTATTAACAGCTGATAAGTTCTACATATTTATTACTTTACTAATGTATGCACATTATAAAATATAATCAAAAGAGACATTTAAAAGGATGAAATAAGATATAATTGTAAATAATAGTTTTTTCTGCATAACTAATAGATTATCTGAAGTGTAACCCACTCTGGTGTTAAAAAAACAATATTCAACTGAGTAAATTTTAAAGATCTTACTGGCTTTATTCAACAATTCATGAATTTGGGCAGCATCCCATCCAACAGATAGAAAGGAACTCCAAGAAGCTATATAAAACAAAGACATTTATAAGGAATAAGGGAATAGGAACAAGGAAGTTATATTAGCAAAAAGTGGATTGGCTGTTGCAAGGTCACTTTCCTTTAGGGAATGACAAGGGTCTATCAGGCAGATGATCACACTAATGCCAACCAGGTGATTCCTGATTGACTGATTTAAGATTCTGTTTCTGGGAGGGCTCAGCATAAATGACTCCATTTGGGGAACTGTTGTCTGTTTTTAATAATTGGCAACCAGGTGGAAAGTACTGCCTATTCAGACAGTAATTTTAGTAGATGGCATAGTATTCTGACTTTTCATTCCACATAAATAGTATGTAGCTTATGTGAACTGCTGGAGGAAGATAACCATTAATATGTAGCTTATAAAAATAGCTGATAATAAAGGAGAAAATACTGTTTTATGCTTTAGGGCAGTGTCTCTCAGTGATTTTTTTATTACTGCCCTCTCTACTAGGGATCCTTTTTAGACATTTTTTCCCTAATTTACTCTTCCCTTGAAATTTTAATACTATAAGTATAATGTATGTCTGTATATGTAGTGTGACCCTTTCAGTGGCCAGAAATCATATTTAATTTTTTTAACCCCCAATATCCAATTTATGTCTACGAGGATTGCATCACCTCTGTTTAGAATGCATGCTTTGGAATAATTATGATGTTTTCCCCCTACTACTTGACCTATCTAATCTCATATTTCTTAAGTGAATAATAAATTAGTATGCATTATATATGTTCATAGCTAGTGATGTGGAGCAGTTAACAGTAGGAGGAAGTTTGTCCATCATTAAAAAATTTACTACAAGTACTTCATAAAGCAGACAGGCTATTCATAGATAATTTACTTGACTATCATGAGGATTTTGTTTATGCTTTTTTCATAGGATGCTATTCTGAAATACAATGTGGCATATTCTAAGAAGTGGGATTTTACAGCTTTGGTTGATTTCTGGGATAAGGTAAAAGTATGCTTACTTCTTTAACTATGAAAATAATATGACAACTATAAAAAGTTTAAGAAAAATACCCATAATTCTGTCACACCAACACAATTATCATCTTTTATTTTTGTGAAAAGTATTTCCTGTTATAATAGGCATGTTTTAGGAACTAATTTTGAAATTTGCTTTATTCTCCTTTTTTGTTATATTGTTATACCATTATCAACATTATTAATGGCTGCATATTTTATGACTAGTTTTTGAGGATTTGATGATTCCATATTCTCAGACATCTATGTTGTATCTAGTTTATACACATAAACACAGACGTGTATAGTCATGTGCCACTTAACAGTGGGGATACGTTGTAAGAAATGCATCATTAGGTGATTTCATCTTTGTGTGAATATCATTGATGTTTTGCACTTACACAAACCTGGATGATATAGCCTACTGCACACCTAGGCTATATGGTGTAGCCTGTTGCTCCTAGGTTACAAGCCTGTGCAGCATGTGACTATATAAAACAAGCACAAGTGATCAAGAGATGTGGTAAACACGAGATGTATGAGGCTACTGGCTGTGTTTACAGCACATTTTTTTATAAGTAGAGTACACTCTAGAATAATGATAAAAAAACATAGTATAATAAATACATAATCCAGTACTGTAGTTGTTTATTACCAAATATTATATACTGTGCATAATTTATGTGCTATACTTTCATATGAATGGCAGTGCACTAGGTTTGTTTACACTTCAACACAAACACGTGAGTAGTGTGTTACACTATGATGTCATTAGGTGATAAGAAATTTTTGGCTCCATTATAATCTTATGGGACCACAGTTGTATATGTGGTCTGTTATTGACTGAAGCTATGTTTTTCCAAGTTTGATACTGTTTTTTTATGTCATATCCAGAAATTATATGACTAGGTCAAAGGGCACAACATTTTGTGGCCATGGATTTATGCTATAAAATCATTCTCTGCAGACTAGCAAGTTAATATGCCATTGGCAATGGGTAAAAATACTACTTTCATAGTTCTGTTGGAGAAAGGGGCATCATTCTTTTTGAAAAAATGGCAGTACTTTTTTTAAGACTTTAGTTTGAAATAATGATAGATTCACAAGAAATTATGAAAAAATGTACAAGGAGGTTGTATGCATGCTTCATTCCACTTTCCCTGATGTTGATTGCTTAAATAAGAATAATATAATATCAAAATCAGGAAATTGACATAGAAGCTTATTTAGATTTTACCTTGCCTCTTCTCACTCAGCATAATTCCCTTAAATACACCATTACTTTGTTACTTTTTATTGCTGAGTAGTACTTCATGATATAGATGTATTTGTTTAACCATAGTCACATTTCAGGACGTTAGGATTGTTTCCAGTTTTTGGTTGTTACAACAAATCTGCTGTGCACATACTATCATGCAGGTTTTTGTATGAATAATTTTTTTAAGATATGTGTGTGTTCTTCTGCAGTTGGCTTTTTAAAAAGATTATTTATTTATTTATTTATTTATTTTTAGAGAGAGGGTAATGGAAGGAGAGAGGGAGAGAAACATCAATGCGTGATTGCCTCTTGTATACCCCCTACTGGAGACCTAGCCCATAATCCAGGCATGTGCCCTAACTGGGAATTGAACTGGTGACACTTTGGTTTGCAGGCTGGTGCTCAAACTACTAAGCCACACAAGCCAGGGCCTGAACATAAATTTTTATTTCTCTGATAAAAATGCCTAAGAGTGTGATTGTTGAATTATTTGATAAGTATGTTTTCAGTTTTTTAAGAAACTGCCAGTATGCTTTTGCTAAGTTAGCAGCCTCCGAAAGAAAAATACTTTATATACAATATATTTTTAAATTTTTTATTATTTTTTCTCACATTTTTTGTTCACATTATGTAGGTTTTATTTTACTAATAATAGAAACTGTAAACAGTTTTTGAAATGGGAACAATTTGAATTAAAATATTTTCAATATTACATATTTTGATTTATCTAATAGAGACTAATTATTGAAATTTGAACATGTTCTATATTTTTCATAATGGTGCTGTTCCTTCTCCAGATGTTTTTCAGATAAATAACTCTGTAAGATAGAATAAGATGATTATTATTATTCCTATTGTAAATAAGTGTTTGTGATTTAGAGATGAACTTTCTTGGCCAGAGTGACATAGATTGTCCCTGGTGGGGCACTAAAACCCAATCCATGTTCTTTCTACTATTGCCTGCAATTACAGTATGTTGTCCCTCTGCATACAGCTTCCCCTCCTACTTGCTGCCATATTTTCTTTGCAGTAAGAGGCTGATACGTCCTCTTCCTCCACTTTTCTCTATTGAAATTCTATCTCCCAGACTCACATTTTCCTGTCTCTTCCCTCCAAAATGAGATGTCACCTTTCTTGGAATTTCCAAGACAAAATTTTAAATATATCTTGTGGCACTCCCGCTCTTTGCCTTGATTTATTCTTGATGCAATATTGGCATCTTGTAGTACCTTAAAAGTTTTATGGGTCATAGGCTGTCTTTCTTAGCTTTATGTTTCCTCTAATACCTGTACAATGCATTATAAGTACTGAGTGCTTCATAAGTAGTTATGAGCTGGATTTCACAGGAGATCAGGTAGTCATACTGGTTTTCAGGGTTACCAAGTCAGGAGAATATTATCTAAAAGTAATGGTGCAAGTTAACAAAATTTGTTATGCCTCCACTCCCTTCCCATGCTACAAGGCACACCTAAGTATAACATACTCTTCCTCTCTGAGCATTTTTAGCTAGTAACATTCTAGTCTTCTCATCAGTTCATTCCCTCTGACATTATTGTACCTGATTTATGTGTCCTGTGGACTGCTGTGATAATTCAGAAGAAAGTGATTAGTTAATTACACTGCCAGGAATCAGACATTAAGATTCTTGTGAATCTTTATAGTTACTTTCTGTTAATTTGGAAGAGACTGAACATGTGAAAATGCCCTTGATGGTAGTATAAATAACATCACTACCCCCTTTTTCCTGGAAATGTTTTGATTATCTTACAATGTATTTGTGAGGTAGTATGATACACAACTGTGGCTTTTGGATTTATCATGTATGTAAATCCTGTGGAGGACATTCAAAACATGCTGCTGATCACCACCATCTTGAGTTTTCTGATTTTGGAGGTCTGGGGTAGGACCTGAGACTGCATTTCTTTCTTTTTTTGAAAATTTATTGGTGTGAGATTGATTAATAAAATTATATAGGGTTCAAGTGTGCAATTCTATAATACATCATCTGTATATCGCATTGTGTGTCAAATTTTCTATCACCACGTTTGATGCTTCTTTACCCTTTATTACCTCCCCCTCAACACCCTTCCCTCTGATTCCCTCAACACCTACCATATGATTGTCTCTATGAGTTTTGTTTGTTCATTTGTTGCTTTCAGTTTTATATACCACATAGAAGTGAAATCATATGGTTCTTGACTTTTTCTGCCTTATTTCACTTAGCATGATATTCTCAAGATCCATCCATGTTGTCGCTAATGGCAGTATTTTATCCTTTCTTATAGCTAAGTAGTATTTCATTGTATGTATGTACCACATCTTTATCCAATCCTCTATCAAAGGACACTTTTCATGTCTTGGCCATGAAAAGAACTAGTGGTTCAATGGCAATGAACCGTGAATAATAGGGGAATATAAATCTTTGCTGCAGTGAATATAGGGGAAGATAAATCTTTATGAGTAAATATATATTTTTTTAGTTAAAAGATTTTATTTATTCATTTTTAGAGAGGGGGGGAGGGAAGGAGAAAGAGAGGGAGAGAAATATCAATGTGTGGTTGCTTCTTGCATGTCCCCCACTGGGGACCTGGCCTGCAACCCAGGCATGTGCCCTGACTGGGAATTGAACCAGTGACCCTTTGGTTCGCAGCCTGTACTCAATCCACTGAGCTATACCAGCCAGGGCAATATTTTTAAATATTCTGGGAAGGTACCCAGAAGGGGGTTGCTGGGACATATGTTAACTCTATTCTTAATTTTTTGAGGAACCCCCATACTGTTTTCCATAGCTGCAACTGTACCAGTTTACATTCCTACCAGCAGTGAATGAGGGTTCTCCAGCATTTGTTATTACTTGTCTTATCCATAATAGCCCTTCTAACAGGTGTGAGGTGGTATCTCATTGTAGTTTTGATTTGCATTTCCATAATAGGTAGTTAAGCTTTGAACATTTTTTCATATACCTGTTGGCCATCCATCCGTATGTCCATTTTTTAATGGGATTGGTTGTTATGTTGTTGACTTGTATAAGTTTTTATATATTTCAGACATTAACCCCAATTGAAGGTATTGTTTGCAAGTGTCTGTTCTCTTTTGGTTGTTTGCCTTTTTGTTTTGCTGAGAGTTTCTTTTGCTGTGCAGAAGCTTTTTAGTTTGATGTGGCCTCATTCATTTGCTTTTGCTTCCCTTGCTTTTGAGGTTAAATTAGTAAAATTCTCTCTTGAGTGGAAGGCCCATAAGTTGGGTACCTGTGTTTTCTTCTATCTAATTTATTGTTTCAGGACTCATATTTAGGTCTTTGATTCATAATTTTTGTGTATAGTGACAAATAGTAGCCTTGTTTTATTTTTTCATATGTGTCTTTCCAATTTTCCCAGCATCATTTGTTGAAGAAGCTTTCTTTTCTCCATTTTATGCTTTGGCTTTTTTGTCAAAAAGTATTTTCCCACGTACATGTAGGTTTATTTGTAGCCTCTTAGTTGTGTTCCTTTGATATCTGTTTCTGTATTTCTGCCAATACCATGCTGTTTTGCTTTTTGTCACTTTGTAGTGTAATTTGCAGTTAAGAAGTATGATACTTCTAGCTTGTGGTTTTTTTTTTTTTCCCTTCAGGATTGCTTGGACTATTCAGGGTGTTGTGTGGTTTCAAATAGATCTGATGATGTTTTGATCTATTGCTTTAAAAAATGCCACTGGGGCTCTTTGCCTGCAGCCATGGAATTGCATGAGAG